TGCGCTTTCGGCTTGTTTCTAGCCATTTTTTTGGCAAGAGATTTATCTTTTTTTGTGCTATTTTTACAACTAAAGTTTTGAATCACTTCAAGTCATTCGTAGACCGTATTCATTCATTCTTAAAATGTAAGCCCCGCTGGAGCACAGTAACACATTCAAAACCTTCTTTTTTTTTTCTCGGAAACTAACAATTTTTTAACCTAATTTTGTTTCTAAAAATCCCCAGTCACCTTTGGGAAGTCTCTTTACATTTGCAATGACACTGATAAAATGGTTTTAAAAAAAAGAAAAAAAAAAGCAAGCAAGCTGGACCCACTTGGCCAGCATGGAGCCCAGAGGGTATGGAAAAAAAAAAAGAGAGGGAAAAAGCAAACAAGAAGATATCTGTTAGTGCTGGCACTCTTATGTGCCGCTAATGGGCTTTAAGGGGGAAGCTCTGGCCAGCGTCAAAGTCACCTCTGAGGAGTGGTCGGTGCCAAGATCGGTGACACTTGGGCGGGGCCACTGCGGATAGGGGAGATGAGGGGCAACAGCTGAGAGGGGCCCCAAGGGCAACGGGGGGTGGGGGTGGGGGGGTCAAGAACACAAGACGGGTGTTGCCGACTTTATTGGCCGCAGTTGTCGTTGGGGAACGTTTGCTCTCAGCTGCTTTGCACAATTAAGTCTTGACGGACGTGTCTGTACAGCGGTGCCTTGAGATCGGAGTTGAATTTGTTCCGTGGCCTTGCTCGCAACTCCAGATACTTGCATTTTCAAATCATCATTCTACTTTGAAATTAATAAAATCGCCATTAATCCATTGCAGCCACAAAAAAAAAAAAAAAACATCAAAAATGTTCAACTTGTTATTGTATTGAAAAAAAATAGGCCTCGACAATACTGCACTTTATAAAAACATAAGCGTAATAGTAGCATACTGCAATTAACTAGAACGTGAAGGTTAAAACAGTTTGTGACTCATAATTTCATGCTACAATGCCCATGAACATCATGCTCCTTATGGTGTCTTCACCTTGGCCACCGGCGGGGGCAGTGTCATCCAGACATTATAAACGAAGAAGAGTTTCACAACATGTGACTCAGTAAACTGCAGTCATATTTAGGGACTGAGGGATGAAGATTTTTTTTAAGGCCGATTCTGAATAAAATTATGGTAGCCGATTACTTGGCCAATTAATTTTAAAAAAGTACATCATGAATAAAATAATTTATTTTATTGGTCCCTTCGCACTTAGAACGATAAACATATACATTTCAGGGACAACATTTTAATATTTTACAATACTTGTTTTTCTGTATTACCTGTTTAACTTCAATCAAAATCAGCTAAAATCATTCAGTAAGTGAGAAAACAAGATGGCTATTTGCACGCAGTTCAAAAGACTGCTTTCATTTTCTCTTACCCAAATCAAACTGTTGTTCACCCGTCACATTCGGTCTTCTGGACTGTGACCTTTAGCTGTTGCCTCTCAACAGCATTCGCGTGTCTGACTGCGCGCGGGTGTGTGTGTGTGTGTGTGTGTGTGTGTGTGTGTGTGCGCGCGCGTGCGTGTTTGTGTGTGTATAGACTTGACTTACGGACTGGACTTGGGCACGCTCCGTTGGAGTTTCCCAGATCTCCACTGAGGAGTGCGACTGAAGATGAGGACAAAAAAAAAAAAAAAAAAAACAGGAGCATAACTCAACCGGTCATTCATATTAGATTTAAATAATCCATTCTAATCTCCGCATCAAGGGTCTCATTATACAAGTATTTCACGGTTGACAATTTTGCTGTGCTTGAATACAAACGAGAAGTGCAGAATGTCAACTCACTCATTAAACGATAACATTTGAACCGCGCAGATGCTCCTTTAATTGTTTGAATGATGCATATTTGAACCATCTCATGTCACCCAAAATATTAGAAACGGGTCTCCGTGTGACGCAGTGCACGAGTACTAGTTCAACCTCATAAGTGAGCATTAATATCTTTTGCACAAGGAGAATTTCCGCATTTGATGGTTTATCGAATGAAGTGGAAGCTGAGTGCAAAATGTGTTGCGCCTTGAAGAGTAAAATATAATAACAGACAAAGGGGGGAGGGAGCCAACATGTTTCGGGAGGTAGAAGTTGTTCGTCTCACAAAGAAGAGCCGTCAAGCAAATCGTGTGGGCGGCACTTCACAGCCGGCTGTTGTTTTTGAAGAGGCTTTTGTTTTGGTGCGCCTTCGCTTGATGATGTTTCCACACGTACGAACCTCATCAGTCAGCAGCGAGTATCAAAAGGCGTTTTAGTCAGCTCGTGTGGAAGTTACAAAAGTTTAAATTAAAGCAGTAACGAACGCACACACACACACACACACACACACACGCACACACACACACAAAGTCTCCATTGCACCTGTGTATTATTAGTGTCTGTGTGTTTGTGTTTCCGTGTGCGTGTGGAGTCCATGCGGTGGCGATGTGGCGACTCTGGACTGGGGAATGTCGAGAATGCCGTCTGACGTCAATGTGGATGTTCCCGAAGAGTCGAACGCACAACAGCTGAGAGTCAAATACATACGAGCACATACACACAGACACACACGGGAAAGAAAGGGGATACTGAAGGGGGAGCAATGGTGAAGTGGGGCGGGGAGGGGGTTCCAGGAGAAGCATTAGCTGACCACAAGAAGCTTCCGGATGTACAGTCACCTGAGCTGCGATTTGAGTGGACGGTGTTTTGGTTTTCAACACAGGATGGAGAATCTACATCATGCCCATCTAATCCTTGCCCATCTAAAAAGACCAGCACTAAAACCCGGCAACAAGCGAAGTAGCTGAGTACCATCTCCCGTGCAGACCTCCATAGCCATTCCATAGTTTCGGCTCAAGTGTACAGTGATCACTTACTGAGCGCCAAGTTTCGTTACCTTCGAAATAGTCGTGATGAGAGATAATTTTATCTTGATCACAATAAATAAAAAGAATATGTCATGTTAACACTAACCTGCAAGCCGGTTTGGATTCATGCGCAAGCTAAGCTAGCTAGTGGATGAGTCTAAGCTTAGCCCAAAGCTAAGGTCTTGAGGCAAACGTTGATCGTTGCTTTTCATAGAAACAAATAATAGCAAATTGTTTGCTGCTGAAGTGGGATGGAATACATCCCTGGCTGAATAAGCAACATGAGGTCCCGTTCATTCGGCTGTCTTTCATTGGTGCTTTTACAGTCACAGGACCGAGAGGTGGGTTTCCTGCACAACAAGCCCAACGCACCAGTCAAGTTGACAACACCCGCTTCATCATTACGTTCCATAATGCGCGGATAAACTTTATTCATTGTAGAAAAAACAAAACAAAAAAAAGAGTTCACCGTATTGTGTGTTACTGTGTGTGCAATGCAGCCCGCCATTACCGGTCGCTGTACAACATTAACTCACCCGTGCAACAACTTAAACAGCTTCTTCGGCTAATACTTTGATTTATACCCTGTTGCCATCCGCTTTCAAAATAGTTGTCATCCTCCAGTGATTTGTAAGCTTTCATCTGGTGTGTGTCACAGAGCACGAGTGTAACCTCCCAAGATGGCCGCCAGAGGGAAAAAAAAAAGCCCTCTCGAAATGTCTTGCTCCGAGATGCGTACAAGCGAACCTGTTGCAGAATTCTGACCCGAATCCATGTTTATGTACAAGTCCTTCTAACAATAATAAAATTATCTTCACCAGTCGATGAATTCAGACGAACAATGGAGCGTACATGAAGGCTCTCATTCCAAATGCAGCCTCGTTTGTGTGATCAAGTGCAAACCGGTGAATGTAAACGCATCCATGGCACTGAATTTCCATTCGGCCATCAGAGACGGAACCTTGAAGCCTCTCACGCCTTACTCAATTTGACTACGCTTTCGGCTTGTTTCTAGCCATTTTTTTGGCAAGAGATTTATCTTTTTTTGTGCTATTTTTACAACTAAAGTTTTGAATCACTTCAAGTCATTCGTAGACCGTATTCATTCATTCTTAAAATGTAAGCCCCGCTGGAGCACAGTAACACATTCAAAACCTTCTTTTTTTTTTCTCGGAAACTAACAATTTTTTAACCTAATTTTGTTTCTAAAAATCCCCAGTCACCTTTGGGAAGTCTCTTTACATTTGCAATGACACTGATAAAATGGTTTTAAAAAAAAGAAAAAAAAAAGCAAGCAAGCTGGACCCACTTGGCCAGCATGGAGCCCAGAGGGTATGGAAAAAAAAAAAAAGAGAGAGAAAGCAAACAAGAAGATATCTGTTAGTGCTGGCACTCTTATGTGCCGCTAATGGGCTTTAAGGGGGAAGCTCTGGCCAGCGTCAAAGTCACCTCTGAGGAGTGGTCGGTGCCAAGATCGGTGACACTTGGGCGGGGCCACTGCGGATAGGGGAGATGAGGGGCAACAGCTGAGAGGGGCCCCAAGGGCAACGGGGGGTGGGGGTGGGGGGGTCAAGAACACAAGACGGGTGTTGCCGACTTTATTGGCCGCAGTTGTCGTTGGGGAACGTTTGCTCTCAGCTGCTTTGCACAATTAAGTCTTGACGGACGTGTCTGTACAGCGGTGCCTTGAGATCGGAGTTGAATTTGTTCCGTGGCCTTGCTCGCAACTCCAGATACTTGCATTTTCAAATCATCATTCTACTTTGAAATTAATAAAATCGCCATTAATCCATTGCAGCCACAAAAAAAAAAAAAAAAACAC